TATAATTATGGGTGTGTTTATGTAATTATGTGTTTGCGTGTGCGGATGTGCCGATTTTTCCTGCGTGCGCTTGAGTTTTCCGCTGCGTGGCTTTGCCGTAGACCCGACGGTCAGTGATGCTTGCGGTCTTCGCCACCTTCCCACGCATTTGAGGTGGTCAAATCGCTTTGAACCTGGCCCGTCGTGGCTTGACCTGATCTGAGTTTTCGTCGCCCCGTCGGAGGTAACATGTGTGCGTATGGGTCTTTCTTTTGAATTTGACTATCCTTTGTCCTCCCTCCCTCCTTCCTGTCTTTCGTTTCTTTCCTACCCCATCGCTCCTTCCTGCCCCATCCCTCCTTTTTGTTTACCTCCACCTCCCTGGTCCCCCCCCTCTCCCCTCTCTCCCGTTTGCCTCCTTCCCCCTTCCTGCCCCCCCTTCCCCCCTCCCTATGCCCCTTCCCTTTCCTCCGGCAAGGTCTCGGGACCCTCGCGCTCCTTCTCCCCCCCTCCGGCAAAGTCTCGGGACCCTTCCCCCCCCTTCCCCCACCCTCCGGCAAGGTCTCGGGACCCTCGCGCTGCAGGACTTCCGGATGCGGGCGGCGCCGCCAACGGGGTGGCCCTGGCGGCTGGAGAGGCCCGAAGGGAAACGGAGAGCGGCGGTGGCCGCAAGTGGGCCGGAGGGCGCCAGCAGTCCACGCCCTTTCGATCCTGGCCGGGCCGATCCCGAGGCCCAAGAGGGCCCAAGATGCTTTCAAGAAGGCCTCCTCCTCCTCCACCTCCTCCTCCTCCACCTCCTCCTCCTCCTCCTCCACCTCCTCCTCCTCCTCAGTCTGGCCTCGTCAGGAGGGGGCGTTTGCTCCGATCCCTGGTACAGGAGATTGGCTCTGCCTGCGTCGGTGCAGGTGGGCAGATTGCGCTCCCGTGTGCGGGAGCAGGTCAGCGGTCACTTCCAGTGTGGGTGGGCAAGGACCAAGACATCGGGCGTCTCAAAAAAAACGAGACGACGGGTTTTTGCAGTTTTTGACCTCCTCGGGGTCCTCACTGGTCCCCAGGACTGTCAAAGTCCGACTCGGGATGAAAAGCTGGCCCCGGGGAAGTCATCGGGAGGTCGGGGACCCGAGTTTAGAAAAGATCCAGACGTCGGATGTCTCGGGAGGGGAAAGACGAGAGCGACGACAGTCTAGAGGGACGAGGAGGAGAGGGAGGGAGGGGAGGGAGGGGGCGATCGAGGGAGGGCAGAGGAGAAGGGGGTAGAGGAGGATGAGGAGGACGGGGAGAAGGTCGACGCGATGAGAAAACGGGTGACAGGGAGTCTCGGGCTGGACGAAAGGGGGGGATAGGGAAAAGGGGGTTTATGAAATCTGCTGCATGCAGCTGGTTTCGGCCCCACCGAGGGGCCCCCTCCTTGATACATGGCCGCCTCCTTGATACATGACCGCCGGGAGGCGCTGGGAAAATCGGCTACGTGAGCTGATTCTCAACCCCCCCCTTTGCTAACCCCCCCTTTCGCCCAGTCCGGGAGTCCAAGCCGTTGCCCAAGCCGCGGCTGCCTGGCGAGCAGTGGCCTCCATGATGCCCTCGCTCTGGTGCAGTCGGCGGCATCCTGCGGTCTCTCGCTGCTCGGCTGCCCGTGCGCGTTCTCAGAGAGCTCCGTTTTTTTTGTTTTTGTTCTCTCCATTTTTTTTTGTGGGGGGGGGGCGGGGGGGGATCTATGTATATGTATGTGTGCATGTATATGTGTATGCATATGTATATGTAGGTGTATATGTATACCTATACGACCACCCTTCGGGTGATAAGGAGGTTCGGGGGGGGGGAACCAACGTCTCACTCGATCGGTCTCACTGTCGATCTCAGTATCGATCACACTATCGGTCTCGCTCGATCGATCTCACTCGATCTATCTCATTCGATCGATCTCACAATTGATCTCACAAACGATCTCACAATCGATCACACAATCGATCTCACATTCGGTCTCAATATCGATCTCACTATCGATATCACAATCGCTCTCACAACCAACGTCATCATCATCATCATCATCATCATCAACAACATCATCAACATCAACATCATCACCAACATCGTCATCATCATGAGGGCACCGTCATCATCATCACCATAAACATCATCAACGTCAACATCATCATCGGGACAACATCATCAACATCATCATCATCATCACCATCATCATCTCATCATCAACATCATCATCATCATCATCGGGACACAGTCATCGTCATCATCATCGGCAGCATCATCATAATCATCATCATAATCGGGACACCATCATGATCACCATCGTTCTCATCATCAACATTATCATCAACATCGTCATCATCCTCGGGACACCATCATCATCATGATCATCGCATCATCATCATCGACATCATCATCAACAACATCATCATCATTGGGGCACCATCATCATCATGAGCAACATCATCATCAACATCGTCATTATCATTATTATCATCATCGGGACACCATCAGCATCACCATAATCATCATCACCATCATCATCATCAGCATCATCATCGGGACACCATAATCATCATCAACATCATCATCATCAACATCATTATCGCCGGGACACCATTTCCATCAACATCATCATCACCAACATCATCGGAATCATCATCATCATCATCGTCATCATCATCATCGGGACACCATCATCGTCATCATCATCATCAACATAAGCATCATCAGCATCATCATCCTCATCATCGGGACACTATCATCATCATCGACACCATCATCAACATCATCATCTTCATCGGGACACCATCATCATCATCATCTCATCATCTCATCTCATCATCATCTCATCATCATCATCATTATCATCATCATCATCATCATCATCATCATCTCATCATCATCCTCGCGGGACACCGCGGGACACCGGCGGGACACCGCGGGACACCGCGGGACACTGCGGGACACCGCGGGACACCGCGGGACACCGGCGGGACACCGCGGGCTCAGCCACACGGGACACCAGCGGGACACCGGCGGGACACCGCGGGCCACCGGCCGCCCGGAAGGGAGACATTTGGTCCGGCCGCGCCTCAGCCGTAGGAGACTTTCTCTCGCCCGCCCACGCAGCTTCGCCTCGCCCGCACGGCACGCACGAACACGAAACCGAAATCGATTTCCCGGTAAGGGGGGCTCTCCGTTCCACTTCGATCTCACCCCCCAACCTCCGATGTATATGTATATGTATATGTATATGTATATGTATATGTATATGTATATGTATATGTATATGTGTATGTATATGTATATGTGTATGTATATGTGTATATATATACATGTATATGTATATGTATATGTATACCTATATGTACATGTATTTGCTTATGTATATGTATATGTATGTGTATATGTATATATGTAGATATGTGTACGAGTACATGTATAGTGCATGTATATGTATGTGAATATGTATATGTATATGTATATATATGTGTATATGTATATGTATGTGTATCTGTATATACATATGTATACATATAGATATATAAATATATGTATGTGTATGTATATGTATATGTATATGTATATGTATTTGAATATGTATGTACATATTTAGGTATACGTGTATGTACATGTATGTGCATATGTATCTGTATAGGTGTATGTATTTGTATGTGTATATGTATGTGTATGTGTATATGTATATGTATGTGTTTATGTATATGTTTGTGTATATGTATATGTATATTTGTGTGTATACGTATATGTATATGTATATGTATATGTATATGTACGATTATATTTATATGTGTATGTAGATGTATACGTGTATATCTATATATATATATATATCTATATGTAGATGTAGATGTATGTATATATGTATGTGTATGTGCATATGTATATACATGTGTACATGTATATGTATATGTATATGTATACGTATGTGTATACGTATATTTATATGTATATGTATATGCACATGTTTTTGCATATGTATATGTATATGTATATGTATATGTATAAGTAGATGTCTATGTATATGTTCATGTGTATTTGTGCATGACTGTGTATATGTATATGTATTTGTACATGTATATGTATTTGAATATATGTACACGTATATGTTTATGTTTATGTTTATGTATATGTACATGTGCATGTACATTCAAATACGTGTAGGTATTTGCATGTGCATATGTATAAATATATGCATATATATGCATGTACATGTGTGTGCATGCATATGTTTATGTATAGGTATATGTATATGTATACTTGAACATTTAGATGCGGATGTATATGTATATGTATATGTATTTGTACATGTATATGTATATGTATATGTATATGTATATGTATGTGTCTATGTATGTATATATATATATATATCCGTATCATCATGTGTATATGCATAGGTATAGGTATATTCATATGTATATGTAGATGTTTAGGTATATGTACAGGTATGGGTATGTGTATGTGTATGTGTATATGTATAGGTATACGTATATGCATATGTACATGCATATGTATTTGTATGTGTATATGTATATGTTTATGTATATGCATATGTATATGTATATGTGTATGTATTTGTATATGTATATGTATATGTATGTGTATGTGTATATGTGTATGTATCGGATCTGTATATGTATATGTATATGTGTATTCAGAGGAATTTGTATATGGATATGTATGTGTATGTGTATATGTTTATGTCTATGTCTAGGTGTACGTATATGCAAATGTATACGTATATGTTTATGTACATGTACATGTATATGTATATGTATATGTATATGTATATGTATATGTATATGTATATGTATATGTATATGTATATGTGTATGTATATGCATATGCATATGTGTATGTTTATGTTTATGAATATGTTTGTGTTTCTATATACGCATATGTATATGTATATGTATATGTATATGCATATGTACATATATACATGGCCGTATACACGCATGTGCGTGTTCATACGAAGAGGGTGGGTGCGCCTTTCGCCGTCTGCTACACGTAGCCTCTTGAAGCTCAAAGTTTGGCGGGGATTCGGGCGGCCCCCGTGCCGTCAGCAGAGCCCCGCCAGCCCCCGCGCCCAGGGCGCATTCGGGCGCCTTCGAGGGCAGCGCGCGCGAGGTCGGGTGTCACCAGGCGGTGCCCGACCTGGATCGCGCCGCGGGAGGGGAGGCCGCCGAGGGCGCCTCCCTCCCATCCCCGCGGCGGCGGCGCGCGCGGCTGGGGCGGGGCGGCGGAGGCGGCGCTGGCGTCGAGCCGCGGGGTCTCGCTCTCGCCGCAACGGCGTGCGGGGCCCATGGCGGAGGTCGTCGACGACGGGGACGACGACGAGGAGTTGACCGACGTCCCCGCCCCGGCCCCGCGGGCCCGCCCTGCAGCGGTTGTTGCCGCCGACGAACTCCCAGTCGAGGATGTGGAGCTGGTCGCGCCCGTGGACGGCGAGCTGTGCGCATCGGTCGGCTACAGCAACAGGCTAGAGGTGCAGTGCCAGTTCGTGTGGCTATGCCAGCGGCACTCGCGCTGCGGTAGGTTCGCACGGGTGAGGCTGCTCTGGAACGACGACAGCTACTGGGACTGGTGGTCGCAGTGCGCGGGCGAGCGGGGGGCGATCTCGCTCAGGCCCCTCGTGCGCATCTGCGAGGGTCCCGTGCCGCTGTGCGTCGCCGAGCTGCCGCCGAACTGTACGGAGCTGGCCCACACTTCGGAGGTGGTGAGGCTCACGGTCGAGGCGGCGGCGGAGCTCTGGCTGCAGCATCGGGTCACCAACCCAGGGGCAGTGTGGCCGCAGGACCTCCTGGGGCCGCCGCCTGGGGCTGCTCGGCCATCCGAGGCTCCCGCCGCGGGTGCCCACCCCTTCGAGGACATCTTCGGCGAGCTGGCCTCCTCATGGTCGCTTTCGAGGGCCTGCTGCGCGGCGGCGAGGCCTTCGCGTGGTGCGGGGGCGACGTGGCTTTCCGAGGCCAGTGCGCCGCCCTCCGCGTCGCCTCGTCCATGGGCTCAGCGGGGCGCGACGCAGCGGGGGCGGTCGTCCTCGGGGCACCGATCACCCTCCAGCTGCGGCGGCTCGTCACGCACGGTGTGGACGAGGGTGTCAGGCTCAGCGCACGGTCGTCGCGCCAGCTGTGGGCGGCCCTCGCAGCGCTTGTGGAGGGCCTCGGTTTCAGTGTCCGTTCAGCTGGCACAGCTGCCGCTGTGGCGGCGCGCCAGGGTGTTTCCTGCGGACCAGGAGTATGGAACTCACCTTGGTGCGTGAGCGTTTGGCCACCAGCCGTCTGGCCTATATATATATATATATATATATATATTATATATATATATGTGGAGGATGCGCTGGCTGACCTCGTGCGGGTCCAGCGCGGCGATGCGCGGGCGACGCTCGTCCGACAGGGGCTTCGATCGATGCGCATCTTCTCCGAACTGCCCTCGTGCAGTATATGTTCTTATCTCTGTGTGTGTGTACAAAGTTCACGTTTTTCAGCACCTCCTTCTCATCCGCCCCGCCTCTCGAGGTCCTCTACCTGAAGCCCCGTGGGCAAGCCAGCGTGGCCTGTGGGGTGCCACGGCGTCCCTGTGGGGGTCTTGGGCCGTCGCGGGACGATGCGGCGGCCCCCCCGCTCTCGGCTTGGCGCAGCTGCTTCGGGGTCGGCACAGGGGCGCATTGGTCGCAGGTGTTGGCGGTGTCCTGGACGGGGTGCAGGTTGTAGGCAACGAGGGGGCATCCTTTTTTCCCACGGGTCTGGCCTCAGAGGTCCTCTTCCTGTCTCGCCCATGGGCAAGCCAACGGTGGCCTGTGGGGTGCCACGTCGTTCCTGTGGGGCCCGGCCCGTCCTGGGCCGTTTCGGCGGCCCCCCGCGCTCGGCGAGGCACAGCTGCTGCTTGAGCGTGCCAGGGGCGTCGCGGCCACAGGTGTTGGTGGTGTCCTGAAAAGGTTCAGGTTGCAGGCAAGAGGTTGAGCCCTACTTCTCACCCGGCCCACCTCTCGGAGCCCCCTCGCAGGCGAGAGGCGGCGGTCCTCTCCCGACCCACCCTCGACAGCCCTCGCCCCGATCGCCCCGAGAGAGGGTCGGGTGGTAGGGTGAGGCGGCACGGTCAGAGGCATAGGGTTTTCATAACTCAGTAGACTGGCCTCATGGCCAGTAGGGTGGGGTGTGGAACTACGGGGGGGGTTGCTTAAGAGCGGCCCGTTGGGCCAACGTGTGGGGAAATTGGGCTACACTCGGCGTCCCCCCCAGCGTTTCGGAAAAGGGCGGCTTGCGGTCAGGGGCCGCCCTTGGGGGCCCGCCGACGCGGTCGGTGGAGGGCCCTCCGATTCGGGCCGAATGCTCTCGGACGAGGCGCTGCGTTCCCTGGGGCCGCGGTGCTTGTCTTCGGAAGCGATGGTGGGGGTTTAGAGGGGCGTCGGAGCGTAGTGGCCATTGGCGAGGGAACGCCTGCCCCAAAAACGTGTATATTTACATATACATATACATATACACATACGTATACATATACATATACATATACATATACATATACATATACATAAACATATACATATACATATACATATACATATACATATACATATACATATACATACATACATATATATATATATATATATATATATATATGGTAGCGCCCCCCCCGAGACCAACCTCAGGGGGGGCCTCATCTTCAACAACGGTTCCAGTAAAACCAGGATTCGCTAGGGACTTTTTTGTTTATAATATATATATATATATATGTATATATATAAAAACGAGCTCCTCTGCGGGCGAACTGGAATACAGGAGGGCAGCCCCAGGGAGGCCCTGTAGATTAAAACAATCCAAAAAATGCAAAATTAAAAAATTAAATAGAGTCCCTAGCGAAATCGACATTCCGCGGAACGGCGGCTGAAAAATACAGGTTTCGCTAAGGAATCTTGCCCACCGTGTATTCCAGGTCCTCCCTGGGGCACCTTCCCCCCAGAGAACGCAATTCAATGTCTCCTGGGTCCATCCGGGGTTGGTGGTTCCCCTTGCTCTTTATGACCTCCTCTCCCTCCTCTGCTTTCTCCTGGTGCCAAGGCCGGTGTCTCCTGCTGCTGGCTGTGACTCTGTTCCTCCTACATACTCCTCTATCTTCTCACCCCTCCTGCCTCCTCCTCGTCATCCTGGCATCGGCGAAACAGCTATGGTACAGCACTCCCTCTTGCCAGCACGCGCGCGCAGGAGCGAAGAGGGGAGTGGAAGGAAAGACACCTGCTGACCTACCGCTCCACATCGCGGAGGTTGCGTCGTCACTTAAAGTGGGATCTCGAGGAAACGCCATGCTATGCCATGCTATCCCCGATGAGCATTCCTTGTATGCTATGTGGTGCCATTGCGTTGTATTGAGTCGCATTGCACTGCACTGCGCTGCGATGTATTGCGTCGTGCCGTTTCGTTGCATTGTATTGCATTGCGCTGCACAGTATTGCATTGAATTGCGTTATGTTGGAAACAGGCCTGGGAGGACCACGGTTGAAAACAGGCCTGGGAGGACCATGGTTGAAAAGAGGCCTGGGAGGACCATCGAGTAGAACAAAGCATATTGGAGGCCAACTTCGGCAATCTTGAAGATCCAGGGTATACATCGACCTGGGAGGACCATCGTCGAAAAGAGGCCTGGGAGGACCATCGTTCAACAGAGGCCTGGGAGGACCATCGTTTAAAAGACGCCTGGCAATAGCAACCCAGTGATATGGCCCTCCACATCCTGCTCTCCAAACCCCACTCCGCTCCAAACTTCATCCACTCCAAAACTTCCTCCACTCCAAACCCCTCCCCATTAAAAAACGACCTCCGCTCGAAACATCCTCCTGATTTGTCCCTCCACATCCTCCCTCTTCTGGCTCACAGGCTGTCTCATTTACACCACCAGCGTCCCCGCGGCATTCCTTGCTGGCTCACCTTTCCATTAACCAGCAAACTATGCCAACCTACGGGCGTTGCTGGCGCACGGTCCCCACCCATGACCTTGCGCCCCATCCAGAGGAGGCGGATACCCTCCTGCACGGAACGAACCGCCTGCTCCCCCCAGAGGAAGCTTAAAAGTTCTGGGAGACGCAGTCTGCCGCAGAGTTGTGGGAGCCCGACCTGTGGGATGCCGACATCGGTGCGGAAGGCTGCGACGAGATCACCACCGACTTGGAGATGAGCTTTTGGATCAAGCCCCTGACCGGCAGGAGGTGCCAGGCGTCGCAGCAGAGGTCGCGAGCGCGGCGGTACCCGAGGCAGAGTGCTCCACGTACTCGAGCTACCGTGGCTGGCAAAGACGTACAACAGCATCGAGCGGCATGCGCCGTGCCGCCGTCCACCTTGGATGCAGCCAGCCGCTACACCGTCAGACAGCGCACACTCAGGGATGGTACGAATCCTCTACTCGGTCCCGAAGAAGCTGACCATCTGTGGGAGACCCAGAGTTGCCCCGAGCTTGCGAAGTCCGACCTTTGGACGGAGACCTGTGACGATACCACCGCCGTCCCGATGAGTCGCTTCTGGGGCGACGACGCGTCCATGGCCTGTGGCCTGTGCATTGGGTCTTGGAAAGCCCTGGGCGCACGAAATCAGGCAGCACGCACCCTGCAACTACGGACCACCAGGGGTTGGCTACCTGGCGGCGTGCATCGGGGAGAGCCCAGTGGCGACATCATCCGCCAGGACGACGACGCCAGCCACGAGAATGACCTGTCCGACGCCGACGCCGACTTGGAGGGAGCGCTGGCGCAGGTGATGGAGGAGGGAGGTTTCCTTGGTGACGACGCTGGTGGCCTCGAAGAGCAGACTGATCCCCGAGGCGCGCCGCAGGACGGCCCCAGCGGTAGCGCAGAGCCGGCTGAACGGCCAGCGAAACGCCAGCGCCGCAGTGACGACGAGTCCTCCATGGATAGGCTGAGCCGGTATTACCAAAAAGGATGGGACTCCCATGGTGACATCAAAATTTCCAGGAAGGATGTGACCGACGACATGCAGTCCATCTACGCACGCCTCTACACTCTAGTCACGGGAGCGATGGATGGGGCTTGCGATGTACTGTGGAGGGTGGTCGCGTGCGCGGTCGTTCTGCGCTGCCTCCGCCTTTGCGATATCGGCCTTCGGGAGCGCTGCTTGTTGCTGCACATCCTACTGCACGACGTCGCCATTCGCGCCCACGGTGGGGAGCTCTATAGGTGCGGTGACGGCGCGTGGCTTCCATTCGCAGGCCTGGTTGCCGAGTCGGTGCTGGCCACATGTAAGCGGGGCCTCCTGCGGGTTGAAGGGCTCTTCCTGCTCGTGGACACGTGGAAGAGGGCCGACGACGCTGCCTTCGTGGAAAAGTGCCAGGCCGCATGGGCTAGCCACGGCGGTACCTCCGTCGAGTTCACCGCCCACTGCGAGGTGTCCGCGTCCAAGGGGAAGAGGACTGGCTCGCGGTCCCAGGGCCCTGCCCCAAGTGAAGCTGAGGATCCTGCTGGTCCTGAACAGCAAGGGGGTCTCCATCAACCAGGCGAGCGTGATGAGGCAGAACCCAGCGAGTCGCAAGGCGAGTTTGCGGCGAAGATGGCGCAGAAATTGTCCTCCGCTCTGCAGAACGAACTGTTGGGGACGAAGCTGATTAAGCATTGCGGCGAATGGTGTTCGACTCCGAAGAGACCAGCCTCTGGCGCGTGCTTCAAAGACGCGTGCTTGTTGTTCGGGCCGAACGGGGAGACCAATTTCGTTGACAAGGGCCAGTCGAGGAACGTGTGCATTCACGCGCCCCACGCACTGAAGGACCCCATCCTGGAGACCGTGAACACGGAGCTGCAAACCTTTCTGGGCCAGACATTCTGGGACAACGGCGTCGCCCTCGACTGCCAGCTCGCCGCCGCGTGCCTCGTCCTCCAGGGGGGGAACATAGACCGCTGCTTTTGGACGGTCGGGCCTGGTGGCGTGGGGCAATCTCTGCTGACCCACCTCGTGGGCAACGTCTTCTCGGGCCTGCGCGCGTTCCTCGATGCAGCGGTGTGCTACGACGACCGCGAATTAAGGAAACAGGCGGAGCAACTCGTTCACGAGCTCATTGCCACTGGGCAGGAAACCGTCGAAGGGTCGAAGCACGGGTTCCGCGAGGACCTGTGCAAAAAAAAAAAAAAAAACATATATCGGCCGACCCGATCGCAGCTCGTCTGCCGTATGGCATTGTCACCCACCTGATCTCCCTGCAGGGCTGGAAAAGATTAGAGCTCAACAAAATCATTCGGTTCGCTGGAGTCACTGCCGAGAGCATCAACGGCATCGAACGCCGCACGTGGTCTTGCATCATCAAATCCAGGTGTGTCTCGCCAGAGGTACTCAGCACAATGCCCGACGCGGCGTCGTTGGGTGTGTTCGTGAAGAATCCAGGCTTGAAGACGTTAGTTCGGTCTCCTCAGGTTGCGCCTGCGATGTGGCGGATTTTGCGCGGGTTCATGAAGAGCCATTCCCGCGGCGAGTCCTTCGGCATGATTGAGGAGTATGCCGAGGGCGGGGGCGGCGGCACCTCCGTGGACTGCGCGTGCGCGGCGACGGGCGTGCAACGCCGCAGCAGAGACGCTGGCGCAACCTCTGCCCCACGTGCACCAGGGGGGCCCCCTCCGCCCTTCAACCCGATGGCAGCCCAGGAGGAGGCCGATCGGAAACTCAGCCTGACACTAGCAGTCCTGCTGTTGGAGAACCGCGTGGGCTCCATCGCGGCAGAGGAGTTTGCGAACAAGCTTGGGCGTGGCATGGTATCTGGGGCTGCGGAGAAGAGAAAGTCGGAGTTCGAGCGCCTTGTCACAGCTGGCCTCTGGGTCAAGAACGGCACTGGCAGTAAGGGGAACACGTCTTACGTGCCAGCGCATTGCTTCGCGCGCAAGCCCGACTGCCACTGGCCTGGGCATGCGGACGACGACCTGCCAGCCCTTCAGGAGCAAGTGCAGTGCAAGAGCGTCATAGAGTATGCCGACAACGTTCCCCGTTGCCAGAACGTGGCCACACTACAAGAGTACTGGCGCCAGATGTGCGACTTCCTGGTGCCGCGGCAGCGGGGCCGGCTCTCGGCGCGGCATATAGACATGAAGAACGATTTCGCTCACAAGGGCGAGAAGCTGGTTCACCAGGAGCGCGAGCTTCGGAGACTGGCAGAGCACATGCGGGGCCAAGTTGGGGGCGCCGACGGCGTCGCGCCCGAGACGTCGACGTATGCGGCGTCATGCTCAAGGAGGGGCAGTCGTCAGTCACGGCTATACCTGGACACCTGCGGCGTGCAGGCTCTCAGCAACGCGGCGAAGCACGTGGTCATCCCCGACGCGCGCGACTGGGGCATCTCGAAATGCATGTGCACGATCGCCCTGCAACTCCTCGGCAAGGCCGCTGCGCTGATCTCTCACCAGGCGGCCCAGTTCGAGTGTATCACTGCACTCACGCAGAGCAATGCAGAAGTTCTCAGCCAGCTAGGAGTGCCTCACAACGCCGGCAATAAGCTTTTCCTCAAGGTCGTGAACGGAGGGCGCATCCTTGAAGAGTACTCGTCGAACAACTTTTTGAAGGCATTGCCGCAGGAAGGGGTACTACTACGTTGGTTTGCAGTGGCTATGGATACGGAGGCGCACGCGGCCACCGCCGAGGTGTGCAACGGGAAAGCTTTGCGCCCGCAGGCGGGGCCATGGCCAGTGAACGCTGCACTGCCATAGCGGCGTGGTTTGGGTTGCCTCGCTCACGGCCGTGGCGCGCCGCCTCGCGGGCGCGCGGTTTTCCTGGGGCGACCGCCGCAGGGCCCGACGAAGCACAACCCCGCCGCTTCTTCGTGGTTCTACACTTGGACGGTGATGGAGGACATGATACTCAACGCATGGTCGGGGCACATTATCGCAACGCTACGGAACGTGTCACATCTGAGTTTGCATTACGACGGGCTCATGATTAACCCCGAGGCAGTCGTCGACGACGAGACGTTTGCGGCAGGCTGCCAGAGCGCCATCTTACGGTCCACTGGGTTCGACGTCTCCATCGTGCGGAAGACGACGCACACCTTCCTCGAGTTAGTGAAACTGAACGGCACCCACGCCCAGGCCGCGTTCCCAGTCTTGCCGAAGAGCCTGCTCAAGAACGGCAATTGCATCCTCGCGGCGCTGGCAACGGCCACCCAGCGCCAGCAAGCCATTGGAAGACTGACATCAGCGTCAAGTGCAGCGAACAAGGCTGCAGAGAAAAAGAGGTACCGAACGTACCAGGATGCATCGACCATTTGCGATGTGCACCTGCGTCCCCTCAGAACCCCCGAGCAGCGACTTGCCGAGGGCTGGTGCCTCCTCCATGTGGAGAACAAGGGCGTGCAGCACTGCGTCGCCATGCAGGCTACGGCTGTCGCGTGCGCGATCGTGGAGAATGCCGAGGCTTGGGCGGTGCCGCGGGACGCATGGAAGACGTACTGGGGCGAGGCAGTGGATCGCAAGTTCCTGGTCCTGTTTCAACTGGCTACCGAAGATTTGCCCGACGACGCCCCAGAGAGGCATTTGCTACTCTTCGCTGCTGGAGCAAGAGCGCAGGTTAAAAGTCGCCAGTGCAACTCGTGCCCGACACCGAAGAGGGGCAAGCAGAGATTGCTCCAGGGCGGGGCGCCAGCCAGGACGAACAAAGATAGAACGGGCGTCAAGAAAACAGCCAAGAAGAGGCAAGCCAAGAAGCGACTCCGCATCCCGAAGAATATCCCGTGCGTGCCAGCGCGCCAGACGGCGCCGAGCGGCGAGTCAGCGGACAGGAACCAGACGTGGAGCACGACGCTTACCGCGCTGGCGACGCGGACCCCCAAGCAGACAATCGACCACCTCAGGGGCGTCGGTATATTGCCGAGGTGGGGCAAGGGCAGCACTTGCCCGATCTGCGGCGCCAATCGGTTGGGGCCGTTGAAGTTCGATAAGACGAGGGGGTGGGCGCACAGGTGCAATTCGAAGAATTGCATGCGCTGGGTGCAGCCCCACGCCTGCCACCCGATATTCTCCTGGGCCTCGGGGATTTCCTCGGTGCCGCTGAACAAGCAGGCGCAAGTCCTCCTTTGCAAAGTGGCCGGCGTGAAATCAGGACAGATGCATCTGCTGACAGGAGTTCCCAAGAAAACCGTGGAGAGCCTATCTGCGCGCTGGCGGCAGGCTGTCCAGGCGCACGTGCTCAAGCGCCAGCGGAGCATGAAGTTTGGGGACCTGAAACAGTGGACCCAGGTGGAGGTAGACGAAACGGTGATCCGAGGCAAGAAGGATAAGAAGAAGCAGCGTGTAACTTGGTTCAGCTACTGCGGTCTTGTTACCCGCGGCGATCGGCGGTCCCTCGTCTTGCTGCGGTTGTCGACAAAGACCGCGCGCGCCAAGAGGCGCGGCAAGGGCAAGGGCTCGTTCGCCTCGCCGGGCCCTATCTCGAAGAAGGATTGGCTTCCCATATGCAAGAAGTACGTCACGAAGCGGAGGCTCATACTCCACAGCGACGGCGCTAGAGCCTACCGATGCACGCGGGTGCCTGGCGTGATCGTGGACGCAGTTCGGCACAAGCGGCCGCGGCCAGTCTATGCAGCACGGTGGAGGCACTTGTTGCCCTTGGACTTCATGAGGACAGCCAAGCCGAAATCAGCGTGGGGCGCCACGGAGGTGAGGTGGGTGAAGAAGGGCACCCAGATCATCGACAAAGTGTGGGGGGCGCTCAAATCCTTGATCCCGAAGGGCACGCACGCCTCGCAGAATCAGGTTGAATCGGCTGTCCGCGAGGCCCAGTGGTTCCTGTGGAACAAGGATAGGGGCCGTTGGCGCGCAGCGGGGGAGGTCTGCCAGTAGCGCGGCTACCGCTTGCGCACCCGCGCCTCCCTCCTTCCCGCGCAGCTTCCTCGTTTCCCCCCACCTCTTGCATGATCGTGACCACTATCTGATAACTTGTGGTCCAACAATATACGGACATTGCGTCCACGAGTATTTCCGCGCTGTCAGGCTACAGACGCCTGCCTCCGAATACGGAGCACCCGACTCCGCCAGGCCGCCTCGAACCCGTTGGCTGCCCTTTATCTTGAATATCGGCCGTCGCGACGCCCGACGCTCTTGGGCGCCTCCTCTCGCACCCGTGCTTGGGCCCTCGAGATCTCTGCGCGTCGATGGAAAATACGGGTTGACGTCCGAATCCCCTTCGCAAGCCTGAGAGAGACCGCCTTCGAAGCGGGGTCCGCCTGATCAGGGGCACCCGATATCGTCTTCTACTTGGGGCCCGTTGAATATGCACCCTTCCGATGACCCTCTCCCTCCAAATCAGGCCTCTCTCTCTCGCCTCCTCCTGCTGAGCCTCCTCCTCGTCGTCGTTCCCCCCCCTCCTCCTCGTCGAGTCGGTCGTCCCCGCTGGGCGAGCTTCGGCGCTGCGAGCTGCGCGCTCCTGGGCAAGCCCATCCAGCAATGATCCCCAGGCGAGTTGCTTTGATCAAGGCATATTGGAGGTCAGCTTGAGTTGTTTTGAAGATCACCAGTGAAAACAGGCCTGGGAGGGCCATCGTCGAACACAGGCGCGGGACAACCATCGGTGGAAAAAAAAGACCGCGAGGCATGTTGGAGGTCAGCTTGGGCGATCTTAAGATCCCCGTGTAAACAGGCCTGGGAGGACCATCGTCGAAAACAGGCCTGGGAGGACCATCTTCGGAAACTGGACTGGGAGGACCCGAAGGCATGTTGGAGGCCATCTTGAGCGATCTCTAAGATCCCCGTGTAAACAGGCCTGGGAGGACCATCGTCGAAAACAAGCCTGGGGGGACCATCGTGGAAAACAGGACTGGGAGGACCCTAAGGCATGTTGGAGGCCATCTTAAGCGATCTCTAAGATCCCCGTGTAAACAGGCCTGGGATGACCATCGTCGAAAACAAGCTTGGGGGGGCCATCTTTGACACGAGGCTCAGGAGCACCATCGTGTAGACCAGGTTTGGGATCCCGAGCCTGTTGTCAACGATGGTCCTCCCAGGCTTGTTTTCGACGATGGTCCTCCCAGGCCTGTTCTCGGCCATCTGGTAGACCAGGTCTGGGAGGGCCATCGTCGAACACAGGCCTGGGAGGACCATCGTTTGAGAAACAAACCGCCACCACAGCGGCCTCCAAATTCCTCCTTCCTCCCTCCAGCCTTCTCGCTCCCTGCAGCCATTTTGGCCCAAGCGTTGCGGGCGTCATCTTGGTCCAAGAATGGCGCGCTCCACTCCAGAGGGGGCGGGCGCAAGGAAGAACTCAGTTGCACATGTGATCGACTCAGCGCCTGAATTGTTCAACCGAATCCCCCATGGTTACGCTAACTGGCTACAGGAGCTCAGTTCCAAGACAATTGCGGTTGTGGGCAATGGGAAACTTGCTGAAGGCGCTGGTAAACTCATCGATGCATTCGACGTGGTTGTGCGATGTAATTCCTGGCGCCGGTATGGCAGCGAGGAGGAGAGCGGGAAAAATGCGACATCCTATTCTTGAGCGGCAGTTCCAAAAATCACATCCTGAATTATTCAGAAGATTTTGTATTGAATGTCGTGGTCGAGGGCGTCCACGCGGAACGCAACGAGTGGGCGTGCGAGTGCGAGGAGCTTCAGTCCAAGTATGTATGCGCACTTCATAAATCCATATGGCAGCGTTTGCGTGGCAACGCAGATAATTCTACCCGTTTCATGGCCGTGTTGGCAATTTCCAAGCTCGCCCGTGATATCTGTATCTTCGGCATGGAGGGTGCAGGCCATTTGAACAACCCCAAGGCTAGGACACTGTGCGCTATGCGTGCCCCGCCCGAACCCGCCAGCGATACGGGAGAGGAGGGGGAGGACGACCACGACGACGACGACGACGACAACGATGACGACGACGAGGACGACGACGACGACGACGACGACGACAGAAGTCAACCACAAGCCCCTTAGACCGCTCACGCCCTGAAGGGCCGGTTGGATCTGGCGCGGCATCGGCGCGGAGCATAGGTTGTACCAGAGCATGATCGCCGAGGGCACCCTGCATCAAGCGCACTTGGTTGTGCCGGCCCCAGGGGGGGCGATCGCCGTGCGCCCGCGCAGGCAGTGCGCAAGGAGGCCTGCTGCTTTCGGCAGGGGCTCGCACCCGATATGCGCTTCTCCTCGGTGTCAGAAGTGGGCGAAGGCAGCGAGGCCGGCAATTTCTGCTCATGTGATTTCAAAGTACAAGAAGAAGGTTGCTTTGTGCCGCGCCTGCCAGACGGCTCTTCAGCGCAGGTTGTCTGCTTGGTAGTTCCTTGGTCGGGCGCGTGCCGTCTGCTTTGTAATTCCAACGGCGTGTCTCATAAATCGTTGGGCGGGCGCGGGCGCAGACGGCGTGCCTCGTAATTCCTTGGGTGAAGCTTCCCATCTGCAAGAAGTACGTCACGAAGCGGACGATCGTACTCCACAGCGAGAGAGGCGCAGGCATGGGCGGTCTGCCTTGTAATTCTTTTGGCGAATGCAGGCGCAGCCGTATGCATCATATTTTTTGTTCGGACGCATATATAGTTGATCTCAGAAACCAGTGGCTGTTGGCCAGAGTCGAAACAAAGGTTTCTATGAAAACTCAGACCGCGACACGCCTGCGGCGAATCTCCGCCGCCCGAGATATTTGGACAGACTTGGCTTGGGAGGGCCACCGTCGAGAACAGGCCTGGGAGGGCCCTGAGCAATGTTGGAGGCCAGCTTGAACGGTCTTTAAGATCCCAGTGTAAACAGGCCTGGGAGGACCATCGTCGAAAACAGGCTTGGGAGGACCCTAAGGCATGTTGGAGGCCAGCTTGAACGAGCTTGAAGAACCCCGTGTAAACAAGCCTGGGAGGACCATCGTCGAAAACAGGCCTGGGAGGACCATCGTCAAACAGACCTGAGAGGACCATCGTCGAAGACAGGCCTGGGAAGACCATCGTCGAAACAGGCCCGAGATATTTGGACAGACTTATATCGCAAAAAGCAGCGACATCGGCGTCGACCAGCAGCAGGAGTAGCTAGTAGTAGTGGCGATGATGGCGGCAGTGGCGGTGGTAGCAGTAGCGGTGGGATCGGTGATTCTGGCAGTGGTGGTAATGGTGGCCACGGCGGTGATGACAGCGGTGGCGTTGGTTATAGTGGTAATGTTGTAGCAATTGCAGCAGCAACCAGCAGTTGTTGTAGTGGTAGTGGTGATATTCGTCGTCGTCGTCGTTGTTGTGGCGGTTGTCGAAGCGGGAGTCGGATTCTCGCTGCGCTCCCGCAGGGCGCAATCTACCTGCCTCCTGGAGAGGATGGAGCGGAGTGAAACAGAGAGCGAGAGAGAGAGAGAGAGAGAGAGAGAGAGAGAGAGAGAGAGAGAAGAGAGAGAGAGAGAGAGTGAGAGAGAGAGAGGAGAGAGAGAGAAATAGAGAAAGAGAGAGAGAGAGAGAGAAGAGAGAAAAAGAGAGAGAGAGAGAGAGAGAAAAGGGGACAGAAGGGGGGGATGATGATGATGATGATGATGAGGAGAGGAGGAGGAGGAGGAGGAGGAGGAGGAGGAGGAGGAGGATACGACGACGAAAATGGGGAAGAGAAGCGCCGAAAGGTTGGTGTCGGGAGGGGCCGCGAGCATATATATATATATATATATATATAATATATATATATATATATATATATATATCAGTTTTGCAGCGCAGTGATGCTGATGGGTCAGAGCTACTTCAAGACGAGCAGGCGCCAGTAGAGTGCCCCTGGAGGCGACGGGTGCGGGCCTGGTGCGCATGCGCCCACTCTGCCTCCGTCGCGTCAGTGGGGCCCAGCCAGCGGTAGCGTCAACCACGGGCAGTGGCAAGGTCTTGATCAATTTTTTCGTGGAAGCGTGGCAGAAACGCATAATCCCAACGCGAGGCGGGCATGGCCGTCCGCTGGGCAGAAGGTGCCGGGCGGGTGCAGGGCAGGAAGGAGGAGCGGAGGCAGCCCGAGGAGGAACGCCGCCAGCAGTGAAGCAATCAGCGGAGGTAGGGCGCTGCCGACATGGCGAGAAAGCCAACAACCTTTAACAACCTCAGGACAATCAATGATTTTGGCGTCTTGGGGCCCTCTTGGGAGGCCCCTTGGAGTCCTCCTGGGGCGTCTTGGAGGCCCCTAGGGCCGTCTGGTGGCCATCCTGAGCATCTTGGAGCGATCGTTCGGCGACTCGGGGCCTTCTTGGACCGTCTTCGGGGCCTTTTTGGGGCCCTCTGGGCCCGTCTTGGGGCCTTCGTGGGCCCTGAACACTCGCGCGGCACCACTTGTTGGCAAAGCCCAGGTGGCACGCGCCAAGCCCAGGGAGTTTTTGGAATTTGGGTCCAGGTTCTTTGAAGACTTTTCAGGAGTGAGGATTGAGGCTTAAGGGATTGGGCAAAATACCTGAGGACACGCCCACTCCGTGCCCAGCGGCACGGTGGCGGATGCTGAGAATGAAGGACGACGACGATGATTGTGATGATTGTGATGATGATGCTGCTGCTGATGATGATGCTGATAATGATGATGATGCTGATGGTGATGATGATGCTGATGCTGATGATTCTGATGATGCTGATGATGGTGGTGATGCGGATGATGCTGATTATGGTAATTCTGATGATGGTATTGATGATGATGACGATGATGATGATGCTGATGATGATGCTGATGCTGCTGATGATGCGGATGATGCTGCTGTTGTTTATGATGATTTTGTTGTTCAGACAGATGCTGATGCTGATGATGTTGACGATGATGATGATGATGACGATGATGATGATGACGTTGATGATGATGATGATGATGATGATGATGATGATGATGATGATGATGATGATGATGACGGTGATGACGGTGATGATGATGATGATGATGTTGTTGTTGATGATGATCATGAGCGCCCTTTTCGTTTTCGGCGTCACTTTTGTTTTCGGCGCCCATGTGGTTTTCGGCGTTTAATGGTTTCCAGCGCCCCCTTGATTTTTGGCGCCCTTTTGGTTTTTGTCGTTTCTTTGGTTTTCGGCGCCGTCTTGTTTTTCTCGGCGCTCTTTTGGTTTTTGGGCGCCCCTTTTTGTTTCCAGCGCCCTGGTGGTTTCCGGCGCCCCTTTGGTTTTCGGCGCGCCCTGTTGGTTTCCGGCGCATCGTTGGTGTTCGGCGTCCTTTTGGTTTTCGATGCGTCTTCGGTTTTCAGCTCTTTTCTGGTTTTCGGCGCCCTTGTGTTTTTTGGCTCCTCTTTGGTTTTCGACGCGCTCTTGGTTTTGATGGCGCTTTTGGTTTTCGTCGCACACTCGGTTTCCGGCGCTCCTCCAGTTCTCTGCGCCCTTTTGGTTTTCTGCGCCCTTATAGTTTTCGGCACCTTTTTGACTTTCGGCGCCCCTGTGGTTCTCGGCGCTCCTTGGGTTTTCGGCGCCCCATTGGTTTTCGGCGACCTTTTGGTTTTCGGCGCCCTTGTGGTTTATGGCGCAACTTTCTGTTCGGTGTCTCTTTTGTCTTCGGCGCCATTGTGGTTTTCGGCGCCTCTTTGAGTTTCGGCGCTCGTTTGGTTGTCGGCGCCCCGTTGGTTTTCGGCGCCCCTTTGGTTCTCGGGTTTTCGGCGACCGTGTGGTGTTCGTTTTTTTGAGATCTTTGGGGTTTCGGTGCCCTTTTGATTTTTTGCGCACCGTTTGGTATTCACCGCCCCTGTGATTTTTGGCGCCCCTTTGGGTTTCGGCGCCCGCCCTTTCGGTTTTCGGCGCCCTTTGGTTTTCGGCGCCCCTTTGGTTCTCGGCACCTCTTGGGTTTTCGGCGACCTCGTGGTGTTCGGCGCTCTTTCGGTTTTCGGTGCTCCTTCGGTTTTCGGTGCCCTTTTGGTTTTCTGCTGCCCCTTTGGTATTCGCCGCACCTTTGGTCTTCGGCGCCCTTTTGGTGTTCGGCGCCACTTTGGTTTTCGGCGCCCTTGTGGTTTTCGGCGCCACTTTGGTTGTCGGCGCTCGTTTTTTGTCGGCTCCTCATTGGTTTTCGCTGCCTTTTTGGTTGTCGGCGCCTCTTTGGTTTTCGGCGCTTCATTTGTTTTCGGCGTCCTTGGTGTCTTCGGCGTCGTTTCTTGTTTTCTGCGATCTTTGGGTTCTCGGCCTCCATTGGGGTTTCGGCGGCCCTTGGGCTTTCGGCGCTGATTTGGTTTTCGGTACTCTTTTGGCATTCGGCACCCTCTTGTGGTTTTCGGCGCTGTCTTGGTTTTTTCGGCTCTCTTTTGGTTTTCGGCGCCTCTTTTTGTTTTCGGCGCCCCTTTGGTTTTGGGCGCCTTGTTGGTTGTCGGCGCCCGCATGGTTTTCGGCGCCTTTTTGGTTTTCGGCGCCCCTTTGGTTTTCGGCGCCTTTTTGGGTTTCGGCTCTTCGTTGGTTCTCGGCGCTCCTTTTGCTTTCGGCGCTTATTAATGTGTTCGGCGCCATTCTGGCTCTTGGTGCCCTTTTGATTTTCTGCGCCCTTTTTGTATTCGTCGCCTCTTTGGTTTTCTGCGCCCTTTTGGTGTTCGGCGCCCGTTTGGTTTTCGGCGCCCCTCTGATTTTTGGCGCCTTTGTGGTTTTCGGTGCATCGTTGGTTTTCGGCGCCTCATTGGTTTTCGGCGCGTCTTAGGGGGGGCAGCTTCCGAAAGACGGAACAAAAAGGAGGGGGGGGGCTTCGGCAGGGGGACTCCAAGGGGGGCGGGGCAACTTCCGGAGCGCGAAAGCACGGGGGCGTGGTAGCTTCCGAGGGGCGGGACAAAAATGAGGGGAGGGGGGCTTCGGCAGGGGAGGTCATTTTGGGTGGGGCGGCAGCTAAGATCGCCCCCTTTGAAAGGAAGGGGGGGGGGTTCGCGGGGGGGGGGGTACTTCGGAGAGGCGGAGAGAGAGAGGGGGGGGCAGGGGCTTCCAGCAGGGGAGGTCCAGGGGGGGGGAGCCAAGCCCCCTCCCCCTTTTGGAAAAGCGGGGTGGCAGCCTCTGGAGCGCCAGGGGGGGGGTCTCCTGCTCCTCCTCCTCCTCCTCCTCCTCCTCCTCCTCCTCCTCCTCCTCCCTCCTCCTCCTCCTCCTCCTCCTCCCTCTCATCATGCTCCTCCTCCTCCTCCTGCTCCTCCTCCTGCTCCTCCTCCTCCTCCTCCTCCTCCTCCTCCTCCTCCTCCTCCCTCCTCCTCTTCCGAGGGGCAGAAGAAAGGTGGGGGGGGGGGCTTCGGGCAGGAGAGGTCCAACGGGGGGAGGTGGTAGCTAAGGGACCCCCCCCCTTTGGGAGTGTTCCACGGGCGCGCTCTCTCACGTGTGCGCTGCACCAGGGCGGGAGATGCGCGGTTTGAAGACCCCCCGCTCTCAATCCGTGAAGCTCCGTGCAGTTTTTCACACGAGTGTGCGTCGTGCTCGGGCGAGAGCCGCGTCTTGCAAGCGACCCGCCTTCCACACGAGAAACTGTTGCCAGGACGGGATGCGCGGTTTGAAGACCCCCCGATCTCAATCCGTGAAGCTCCTTGCAGTTTTGCACACGAGATTGCGCTGTGCTCGGGCGAGAGCCACGCTTTGGAAGCGGCCCGCCTTCACCTGTGAAGCTGCTGCCAGTTTTTGCGCGACGGTGTGGCACGGGCGGCAGTAATCAGGACAAGGCGGAAGACGAGGGCGAGGACCAGGAGTCGCAGCAGTAGCAGGAGGACGACGAGGATGCAGGAGGGAGGAGAGGAGAGGGGAGTAAGCAAGGAGGACAGAGAGTGGAGGGTGGAGAACTGAGGAGTGCGGGCGAGGAGGATGCGTGGAGGAGACCCCAAGAGGCCCTGCGGCACCCCCGCGCTGATCTGCGCCAAGCGACCGCGGGCTCGGCGCTGCGGCAGATGCTGCTGGTCACCACCGCATGCGAAGGGGCCCGCCGCCCCTCGCCACGAGTGGGAGGCATGATGGAGGGGAGAGCGGCGACGTGAGGATGATGGGAGGCATGATGAGGACGAGGAGGGATGATCAGGGATTGCGGAAGGCGAGTGAGTATGACGATGGTAGTGTTGATGCGGATGATGATGATCATGACGAGGATGATGGTGGTGGCGATGGCGACGCGGATGCTGATGGGATGCTGGCGATGATGATGATGAGGGTGCTGGTGATGATGATGCTTATGATGACGGGTCATGTGTATGATTGCGTTGGTGGTGATGTTGAGTATGATGATGATGATGGTGATGGTGATGGTGATGGTGATGATAATGATGATGTTTTTGATGGTAATGATGATGACGATGATGCTGCTGATGATGAGGACGATGCTGATGTTGATGCTGACGATGATGATGATGATGATGATGATGATGATGATGATGATGATGCTGATGCTGATGCTGCTGATGATGATGCTGATGATGATGATGATGCTGATGATGATGATGATGATGATGATGATGATCATGATGACCATGCTGATGATGATTACGACGATGATGTTGATTCTGATGGTGATTGTGCTGCTGGTGATGATGACAAGGATGTCTGCGATGGTGGTGATGATGATATTGATGCTGCTGCGCACGATGATGGTGAGCGTCGTGATGAGGATGCGGATGAGGCGAATGATGCGGCTGCTGCTGCCGATGATGTTGTTGCTGCTGCGGCTGTTTCTGCTGCTTCTGCTGATGTTGCTGGTGATGATGATGATGATGATGATGCTCATGATGATGATGATGATGATGATGATGATGATGATGATGATGATGATGATGATGATCATGCTGCTCATGATGATGATGATGATGATGATGATGATGATGATGATGATGATACTTATGATGATACTGCTGATGATGATGCTGATGATGATGAGGGTAATGATTCCGATACAGCTGACATGGATGATGCTGCTGCTGATGAAGCTGATGATAATGATGCTGATGGTGACTTGTTGACGATGTCGATGAAGATGATGGCGACGAGGATGATATTGATGCTGCTGTCGACTATGCTGACTATGATGCTGATGCTCATGATGATCATGATGCTTATGCTAATGATGATGCTGCTGATGATGATGACCGATGCTGGTGATGATGGTGATGAAGATGGTGGTGTTGCTGATGATGGCTGATCGTGTGTATGATGGTTGGTGGGCGGGTGATGATGGTGGTGGTTGTGTTGATGATGGCGATGGCAATGATGATGATGACGATACTGATGATGCTAATGATGATGCTGATGATGATGCTGATGATTCAGAGGATGATGCTGATGACGGTGCTCATGCTGATGATGCCGATGATGATGCTGTTGATTGGCATATCATTATTAAGATGATGCTGATGCTGATGATGATGATGCTGATGATGATGTTGATGACGATGACACTGACGATGATGATGATGCTAATGATGATGCTGCTGCTGATGATGATGATAAGGGTCTTGATGAGGATGAGGGTGAAGACGAGGACGACGATGACGAAGACGACGACGCCGCAGACGACGATGATGATGGTGGTAATGGTGGTGGTAATGAGGATGGTGATATTACTGCTGCGGCTGCTTCAGCTGCTGATAATGATGGTGATGATGACGATGATTATGATGATGAGGATGAAGATGCGGAGGATGATGAGGATGGTAATGGTGATGGTTATGATTAGGGTGCTGATGTTGACGATGTTGACGATGATGATGTTGATGATGATGATGCTGACGATTCTGCTTCTGCTGATTCTGATGATGATGATGATGATCGCTGTGGTGGCGATGGTGGTGGTGGTGATGACGGCGACGGTGATGATAATGCTGCTGCTGCTTATGATGCCGAGGCTGATGCTGCAAGAGGAGGGGGAGGAGGAAGTGGAAGATGAGGACACATATGATCACCAACGTAAGCCCAATGCGCAGCAGCGACGTTGCAATAAACCCTTCTGTCAAGTTTCTTCATTTCAATTACCGACAACATTATATTATCATTGCAACATCATGTTGTCATTGCTGGAAGAGCCCATTTCGAAGACAACCGTCTGAGAATACTTAGCTGTGCCAAAGGACCATTCCTGGGACTTCAACGCCGTGAGCCAACGTGACTGCTGCGTCCTGACAATCCGAAATCGTGCCAGAACGCCAGTCCTGGGATTTCAACACAGCGAGCCAACTTGACTGGTGCGTCGCAACAACCCTAATCGTGCCAGAGCACCATTCCATGGAAAATCGTGCGAACCTTGGAAACGGTGACAAACATTTCGACGAATGCCAGCGGCGCTAATGTACCATGGCTTTGAGTTGCTCTGCATGGCTTTGCATTGCTGTACGTTACTCTGCACTGGTCTACATGAGTTTGCATTGCTTTGGATTGCTTTGCATTGCTTTGCACTGATTTGTGTTGGTCTGATTTGCATTTTATTGCTATGTATTTCTTGGAATTGCATTGCTTGGCATTGCTTTGCATTGCCTTGCAGTGCCTCGCAGTGCTTTGCGTTGCTTTACATTGCTCTGCATTTCATCGCATTGCTCTGCTGTGCATTGCCTTGCATTGCTCTGCATTGCTTCGCATTGCTTCGCAGTGCTTCGTATTGATTTGCATTGCTTTGCGCTGCTTTGCATTGCTTTGCATTGCTTTCCATTGCTTTGCATTGCTTTGCGTTGCTTTGTATTGCTCATCTTAATGTAGTGCGTTACGTCGCCTGCCTTGCGTCGTTTGGCCACACGTCGGTTGCACCACATGGATTGCGCGGCCTAGATTGCACCACATTGATTGCACCGCCTAGATTGCACCTCATACGTTGCAAGCTATCACTGTTTGGAGTCCATGCCGGCTAACATTGACTTGGACGGGGCACGTGCGCCCGATGCCGCGACGCGATTCGGGCAGCGCTAGGCCCAGAACGGGCCCCCGAGAAGATGGGGTTCAGCATGAGGAGCAGAGAGGAGGCAGGATGGGGCGCAGTGGGAGCAGGAGGACGTGGCGGAGGATGGGGAAGAACACTGGGAATAGGACGAGGAAGAGGACGGGGGGGAGGAAGGGGAGGAAAGGGAATGGACTGGGGAAAGGACCGGGATGAGGACGGGGAGGAAAGTGAGGACGAGGAGGACGCGGAGGAGGAGGCGGAGGAAGAGGAGGAGGAGGAGGAGGAGGAGGAGGAGGAGGAGGAGGAGGAGGAGGAGGAGGAGGAGAAGGAGGAGCGGGGAGATGGGGGAAGGAGGAGCGGCCTGCCCGCATACACCGCCGTTCGATGATTTCTGGCATCTGGGCAGACAGCTCCTTCTCCTTCTCTTCTTCTTGTCCTCCCCCTCCCGCTGCTCTGCCCCCTTCCTTGTGCCGACCGCTCTCCTCCCCCCCCCAGCGGCACCAACCACTTCCCCCACTGGCGCCGAGCGCGCTTCCATGTCAAAAGCAGCGCAACCGGCGGATGAAATCACCTGTTTGGTGCCCGCGAGTTTGGAGGGTGGCTGGAGGGGCCTTGATGGTGCTGCTGATAATGATGCTGATGATGAGGATTCTGACGATGATGCTGAGGATGATCCTGATGATGATCATGATGCTGCAAATGATGATGGTCATATTGATCATGATAATGATGATGATTCTGGTGGCGACGATGGTGATGATGGTGATGATGATGATGATAATGATGCTGATGATGATGCCGATGATGCCGACGATGATGATGATGATGATGATGATGATGATGATGGTGATGATGATGATGAGGATGATGATGATGGTGGTGGTGACGATAACGATGCTGATGATGATGCTGATGCTGATGCTGATAGTGATGATGATGCTGATGATGATGCTGATGCTGATGCTGTCGATGATGCTGATGATTCTGTTTCTGCTGATGATGCTGATGATGACAATGATGATGCTGATGATGATGAGGACGCTGCTGACGATGAGTAAGATGACCACGACGACGACGACGATGCTGCTGCTGCTGATGATGATGATTACGACGACGGTGGTGGCGCGGCCACGTCGACGAGGATGATTATGCTGCTGCTGACGATGATGATAATGATGGTGATGACGATGACAATGATGATGATGATGATGATGATGATGATGATGATGATGATGATGACGATGATGATGATGATGATGATGATGATGAGGATGAGGATGAGGATGAGGATGCTGATCATGATGATGATGCTGATGCTGCTGATGATGATGTCGACGAAGAGGAGGATGACAATGCTGACGACGGCATTGGCTGTGGCTGCGACCATGACGATCATGATGCTGATGCGGATGATGATGACGATGATGCTGACGATGATGCTGAGGATGATCCTTGTGATGATCATGATGCTGCAAGCGATGATGACCATATTGATCATGATGATGATGATTATGATGATTATGATGATGACGACGATGATGATGATGATGATGATGATGATGATGATGATGATGTTGCTGATGATGATGCCGATGATGCCGATGACGACCATGATGCTGCTGCTGGTTCCGATGTTGATGCTGCTGCTGATGCTGATGCCGCTGCTGATGCTGATAATGATGATGATGATGATGATGATGATGATGATGATGATGATGATGATGATGATGATGATGCCGATGATGCCGATGATGACGATGATGATGGTGATAATGGTGACGATTACGATGCTGATGCTGATGCTGCTGCTGCCGACGTTGATAATTATGATAATGATGATGCTGATGACAACGATGATGCTGATGATGATGAGGACGCTGCTGACGATGAGTAAGATGACCACGACGACGACGACGATGCTGCTGTTCATGCTGGTGATGATGACGACGACGGTGGTGGCGGCGGGGACGTCGACGAGGATAATTATGCTGCTGCTGACGATGATGATGACAATGATGGTGATGATGATGACAATCATGATGATGATGCTGATGATGATGATGATGATGATGAGGAGGAGGATAAGGACGAGGATGAGGATGAGGATGATGATGATGATGATGATGATGGTGCTGCTGCTTCTGATGATGTTGACGACGAGGGGGATGACGATGACGACGACGGCGGTGGCGGTGGCTTCGACCATGACGCCCATGATGACGCGGCTGCTGATGATGATGATGGTGGCGACGACGACGGCGGCTGTGACGACGACGTCGATGATGATGATGATGATGCTGTTGATGCTGATGATGCTGATGATGATGCTGATGACGACGACGATGATGATGATGATGATGATGATGATGATGATGATGATGATGATGATGATGTGATCGTAATGATAGTGAGGGTGCTCATGATGCTGGTTCGGCGGCTGCTGTTGCTGCTGCTGATGCTAATGATGATGATGCTGATGCTGATGATGATGATGCTGCTGCTGATGATGCTGATGCTGCTGCTGATGATAGTGGTGGTGGTGGTGGTTGTGGTGGGGTCGGTGGACGGGTGGGTGGGTGGGTGGTTGGGTGGGTTATGGTGATTCGGGGTGATGATGGTGATAATGATGAGGATGATGATGACGACGATGATGACGATGATGATGATGATGTTGATGATGATGGCGATGATGATATCGATGATGATGATGCTGATGCTGATGCTGAAGCTGATGCTGCTGATGCTGATGATCATGATGCTGCTGATGATGATGCTGCTTACGATGATGCTGATGCTGACGATGCTGATGATGCTGCTGATGATGCTGATGCTGCTGCTGCTCATGATGGTGCGACTGATGATGATGAGTCTGATGATGATGGTGCTGATGATGATGATGCTGATGATGATGGCGATGATGACGGTAATGATGTTGAAGATGATGATGCTGATGATGATGATGATGCTGATGATGATAATGATGATGAGGTAATGATTATGATGATGATGATTATGCTGATGATGACGATGATGATGATGATGATGATGATGATGATGATGCTGTTGCTGACGCTGACGATGACGATGATGATGATGATGAGGAGGAGGAGGAGGAGGAGGAGGAGGTGGATGAGGAGGATGAGGATGAGGATGAGGATGATGATGATGATGATGATGGTGGTGGTGGTGGTGATGATGGTGATGATGGCTGCTGCTGATGATGATGCTGATGATGATGATGCTTCTGCTGATGCTGCTGCTGCTGCTGATGATGATGATGATGATGATGATGATGATGATGATGATGATGATGCTGGTTATGATGTTGATGATGCTGCTGATGATGTTGATGATGACGCTGAGGAGGAGGAGGAGGAGGAGGAGGAGGAGAAGGAGGAGGAGGAGGAGGTGGAGGGGGAGGAGAAGGAGGAGGAGGAGGAGGCGGAGATGGAGGAGGAGGAGGAGGAGGTTTGAGGAGGAAAATGAGGATTGGGTGGGAGCGGGATGCGGAATGGGGCGAGGAGATGGAGCAGCCGGATCAGGAGGAGGAGGAGAAGGAGGAGGCGGAGATGGATGAGGATGAGGAGGAGGAGGAGGAGGAGGAGGAGGAGAGGAGCATGTCGAGCATATGAAGTATGATGACAGGAAGAGACGCTTCTGACTCCCCCCCCCTCCCCCCCTCCTCCGCCCCTTCTCTCTCCATCGGCAGGCCGCAGGGGCGGCCGCCGGCATCGCGGACGAGATTGGACAGCTACGCGCAAACCTGGCGAGCGCAGCGGCCAGGGACCCGCCGCGGGGAGGGAGGGTGGGCATGGGCGGGAGGGCGGGGGAGGGGGAGGGGGAGGGGGAGGGGGAGGAGGAGGAGGAGGAGGAGGAGGAGGAGGAGGAGGAGGAGGAGGAGGAGGAGGAGGAGGACTGGTGCAAACTCAAGAGTCATCAGCGATGTTGAAATTAAGCCTCCCTCCAAACTCCCTCTTCGTAGGCCCCTACAACGGTTCATTTCCATTGAGGGGACTGCCTCGTTGGAAGACAACCGTTTGAAGACCTTGAACCATGCCAAAACGTTGTTCTCGGGATTTCCACGCCACGGACCAACCTGACTGCTGCGTCCTGGCGATCTGGAATCGTGCCGGAACGCCATTTTTGGGACCTCAACACCGCGAATCAACATAACAGTTGCACCCGCATAACCCTGAGTCCTTTCAAAACACGAATTCTGGTACGTTGATCATGGGAGTCCGTGAAAGTCTAGTAATTTTTTAAAACTACTGTGCGCGGCGCTAAGGCGAGAGCCACGTGTTGAAGTCGACATTGCGCTTCATAGTCATACATGGTGAGGATGTCTCAGGCGAAACGCCCAGCCCACCCTGCGACTGGCCTCGGGGTGTGACAGGGATAAGTTGTTGATAAGGAAGAGGAATGGAGGAGGAGGCGGAGGAGGAGGTCTGGCTCGGTGAGGGGCCTGACGTGTCTATCTGGGCTCCCCTTTCTTCCCACCTCCTCGAGCGTCGCGACGTCCGACTCTTTTCGTCCGAGCCGAGCTGTGCCTCGGGCCTTTTCGGTTCCGATTCCCTCTCGTTCCTCCTCCTTCCCTCGCCCCCTTCATTCCCTCGTTCTGTTCAGGAGGCTTGCGCTATCTCGCCGATCCCCACAAGAGGAGATGTGCGGCTTCCGATGTCGTTTTTTTCTGCCCTTTCCCATCACCCTGCCCGCGTGTAGTGCACGGTTTACCGCGGGGCCGTAGGCGACCCGAGGAGGAGGAGGAGGAGGAGGTGGAGGAGGGGGAGGAGGAGGAGGAGGAGGAGGAGGAGGAGGAGGAGTAGGAGGTGGAGGAGGAGGAGGCGGAGGAGGAGGAGGGAGGAGGAGAGGAGGAGGAGGAGGAGGAGGAGGGGAGGGGGAGGGGGAGGAGGGGAGGAGGAGGAGGGAGGAGGAGGAGGAGGAGGAGGAGGAGGAGGAGGAGGAGGTTGAGGAGGAAGATGAGGGTTGGGTGGGAGCGGGGTGCGGAATGGGGCGAGGAGGTGGAGCAGCCGGAGGAGGAGGAGGAGGGAGGAGGAGGAGGAGGAGGAGGAGCAGCAGGAGCAGGAGGAGGAGTAGGAGGAGCAGCAGGAGGAAAAGGACAGGAGGAGGAGGAGAGGAGGAGGAGGAGGAAGGTTGAGGAGGAGGAGGAGGAGGAGGAGGAGGAGGAGGAGGGGGAGGCGGATTTTCTGTCTTCGAGGGAAGCGGGGTGAACGTCGTCTTCCCCCATGCCGCTGCTACAAGCCCCCTCGACTTAACACTGATTGCCCGCATGAAGCATCGCTGTGCATTGGCGGTGGAGGAGGATGAGGAGGAGGAGGAGGAGGAGGAAGAGGTGGAGGAGGAGGAGGGAGGAGGAGGAGGAGGAGGAGGAGGTTTATCCGTTCCGACTGCCACTCTTACAGCGCGGGTGGCAGCGTCGTGAGAAGCTGGGGGAATCTCGGCAGGGCGAAGAGTTCCAGGGCGCAGGACGTACAGCCTGGTCCTGTTTCACCAAAAGCAAGCACACACCCAGCAGAGCAAGAGGGAGACGAACGTCGAGCTTCTTCCCTCACCCTGGTCAGCTTATCAGAGGAGGACAAGGTAACCATACCTCTACCCCTCCCTCGTTTTCCCGTTTTCGGGCCTCCTGGGAGGCCCTCGTCGCCACCGCTGGATTCGCCTCGAGATCCTGGTCAGAACGCACCCCGGGAGAGGTCTGGGGAGTAGCGGTATTGGTACCTTTTGGTTTCGCCAGCTTAGCTGTGCTGACAAGAAGCCGTTTGCGGTATTTGCTGGGGCCCTCTCGAGCGGTTTTTCGGGCCATCTTGGGGGGCCTCTTGGGCCATCTCGGGGCCCTCTTGGGCCGGCTCTATGCCACCTTGGGGGCCTCGTGGGCCGTCTTGGGCCGAAGGGGGGGCTGGGCGGCCCGGCGGGCCGCCGTAAGCCGTCGAGAGCCCAGGGCGGAGACGCCCTAGGCTTTCGAGAGCCCGAGGCAGAGAGAACGCGATTATTTTCGCAGGCCTAGACGTTGACACCAACACCAATATCGGCGGTGTGTCTCCACCGACGGAAGGAGATCCCGATCTCGGTGATGGCGGTAATATTCTGGCTTCCAAGGCGGCCGAAAGATTACCACCAACACCGAACTCCAGGATCATGCTCCCCTGGTGGAGGCAACCCCTTTTGTTGGTGTTGGTGCCCATTTTCAGGCCTCCTAGAAGTCCATGACTCGTGCTCCATGAGGCTCTTGGGATGTGTCCTCTTGGGGCCCTGTCTGGGCGTCGTGGGTGTCTCGAGCCATCTCGGGTGTTTTGAATGCTTCTCTGGCGCCTCGGGGCATCGTGGGCATCTTGGAGGCCACGAGGGGGTGATCTGGAGGCTCGGAGGTTTCCAGAGGTGCGGCGACGAGCTCGTACCCTCACCTGCCCCCCTGATGTTTTGGACCCGAGGGGAGGGGGAAGGGGGGGGACACCCAATCATCTCACACGCCTTTTTACCCCCGGGAGCAGGCTTTTTTTGGATTCTCTCTCTCTCTCTCGCCTTCTCGTTCTGTGCATGCATCGCCCATGCAGACATCAATTCCGCCGCCGCCCCCCTCCCTCACCCCCCTTCCCCTCCTCCTCCCCCCTCTGCAGGGGGCCGTAACCTCAATCAGGAACACAGCGCATCGATTATGGGATGCGTAGGCTGCGTCGTATCCAGGGCACAACTCAGCACGTGTTGCGGCCCGGATCCATCGCACATCGTTGGTGTTGTCGTGCTCGTGTTGTTGGG